TTTTTTTTTTTTTTTTTTTTTTTCACGAAAATCCGACGACACATAGGGGAGGGGGTTGATCTCCCTCTCCGGTTCTTTTTTCTTTTTTGTTCTCCTTACAAATGCGACGAAACTCAAAAAAGGCACGTGGGGAAGGGAGTTTATCTCCCTCCCCCTTTTTTTTTTTTTCGTTTTGTTTCCTGATTACGAAAATGCCACACGGGAAACGGTCACACTCGGCACGTTTGAACTTTGATCGCACAGGGAGGGGGGTTGATCTCCCTCTCCCTTTTGTTTTGTGTAAGATTTGTACTTGCGAAAAATGCGGAACTGAAAAAAGGCATGTGGGGAAGGTCGTGATTGCCATGTATGAACTGAGATCGCATAGGGGAGAAGGTTGATCTCCCTCTCCCGTTTTTTTTTCTTTTTTTTTCACCTTGCAAACGCGACGAAACTCAAAAAAGCGACGTGGGGGAAGGTCGTCATTGCCATGTATGAAGTCAGATCGCACACGGGAAGGGAGTTTATTTCCCTCTCCCTTTCTTTTTTCGTTTTTTTTTTCCGGATCATAGCATGTGGGGAAGGTCGTGATTGTCATGTATGAATTGAGATCGCATAGGGGAAGGTCGTGATTGCCACGTATGAACTGAGGTCGCATAGGGGAGGGGGTTGATCCACCTCTCCCCTTTTTTTTTCTTTTTTTTTCTCCTTGCAAATGCGTCGAAACTAAAAAAAGCGACGTGGGAGAGGGTCGTTATTGCCATGTTTGAACTCAGATCGCTCACGAGAAGTGAGTTTATCTCCCTCTCCCTTTTTTTTTTTGTTTTTTTTTTTTGGATTACGAAGATGGCATGTAACGAAAATGCAAAATGTCACGCGGGAAAGCGTCACAATCGGATCGTCTGAACTGCAATCGCACAGGGAGGGGGGTTGATCTCCCTCTCCTTGTTGTTTTGTATCAGATTTGTAATTGCGGAAACTGCGGAACTGAAAAAAGGCATGTGGGGAAGGTTGTGAATGCCATGTATGAACTGAGGTCGCATAGGGGAGGGGGTTGATCTCCCTCTCTTTTTTTTTTTTTCTTTTTTTTCCTCCTTGCAAATGCGACGAAACTCAAAAAAGCGACGTGGGGGAAGGTCGTCATTACCATGTTTGAACTCAAATCGCTCACGGGAGAGGAGTTTATCTCCCTCTCCCTTTTTTTTTTCGTTTTTTTTTTTCGGATTACGAAGATGACATGTAACGAAACTGCAAAATGCCACGCGGGAAAGGGTCACAATCGGCTCGTCTGAACTATGATCGGACAGGGAGGGGGGTTGATCTCCCTCTCCCTGTTGTTTTGTATCAGATTTGTAATTGCAAAAAATGCAGAACTGAAAAAAGGCATGTGGGGAAGGTCGTGATTGCTATGTATGAACTGAGGTCGCATAGGGGAGGGGGTTGATCTCCCTCTCCCTTTTTTTTTTTTTTTTTCCCTCCTTGCAAATGCGACGAAGCTCAAAAAAGCGACGTGGGGGAAGGTCGCCATTGCCATGTTTGAACTCAGATCGCTCACGGGAAGGGAGTTTATCTCCCTCTCCCTTTTTTTTTTCGTTTTTTTTTTCGGATTACGAAGATGGC